TTACATGTGACCAACACCTATAGAGGTAGGACTGTTGGTAGCAGTTGGGGAATATTCAACTAACAGCTTCCTCTAGATATTTGTAGTAAAAGCTTCGTTGGTGTTGCAACAATTCAGTCAATATGATTGCAATATACATACAACGAGTGTGCTTTTGCTATAGGCAATCGTTGCAATAATAAAGGGCATGAAATACTATTTCAATTAATACATCTGATTCTGTCCTTCACCGATGCTAATCAAATTATCATCGATAACTCCTCATTTTAATTCGTTTGTGAATCAAGAAAAAATTTCTCCACAACAAGTTTCTCGTAATAGAAAAGCCAAGGGATCAATTCCATGATGTTATACGTTGTATTTTCTCAAATTGCTCCAGCAATGTATTTATATGGAATCCTAGATATGTTCAACGATGCGTATGGTTTTGCTATTCTACATTACTTCCATTTTATCATTGAACTTTGTCAACGTGCTTGGGAATTTATGTTATTCATGCGTTAGAATACAGATGGTAGGAAATTCACGCATTGATTTATGAGAAGTAAGGGTACTTGATGAATACTAATTAATAGTTTAATTTTTTTCCTTTCATCATCTAACAATGTACTCAATCTTAAAATACATTTTACAATCCCTGAAAATTCTTAGGGTTTAAATATTTTATTTATTTCCAATGAATAAATATCTTATACAATTAAAAAACAATGTTTTGATACAATTTGTATATAATTTTAATTATAGAATAAACTCGTGAAATATTTTGCTTCTAATGTATAAGATTCATTTGAGGCACTTGATGATTATTTTTTTTTTTCGAAGAAAAGAATACAAATAAAGTTTTTTGGAAGCAAATGAAAAATATCCAGTCAGCTGATAGTTGGAAATAAATTGTCCGACATTAGAGAGCAGTGATCGAGGCTATAATATACCTGGTAGATAAGTTACTACTTGGGACAGGCATTAATTTGGCTGAGTTGCCACAAGAGATGCTTGTGTGGCTGTAGACTTGCGACGTAGGATTTCTCCCAAGTGGCTACCAGAATCACCGTTAACGTATAGACGTCGTCTTCAGACCAATCGATTCTCCTCAGGAATATTGTCACAACTAATGATTGCCTTAAACTTATACCCAGAAATCTTTTAAAAAGTAATGGAAATTTTTTAATTAATTTTTTTTACATTTACATAACTTAAAACCTCAAAATATTAAAAATATGAAAACAACATTATCCAAATATATGTAAAAGCATTTATAATAATTAAATACTTTTCTGTCACTCTGTTTTGTCAGAACATGTAATCTTTTAAACTCTCTTGGATATTTATACAATGACGTGTTGTCAAGAGTATTCTGTTGGCCCCTGCATATACACACTTGTGCACAAATTCCATAGAAGGATATACACGAGGGTCGTAAATGGAATTAAAATCCAACAAGAACCAAGGGCCGATTAAAATGACGCCAGTACGAATGACACGTGATGGAGAGGAGGAAGAGACTTGACTTTGCGTGACTGAGAGAAACACTGAAGGGGTGCTGTTCTTTTTGGGATTTAAAAAAATCAATTTTCTTTATTCGTAATTCAAAAATCCATATCTCCACTATAACCAAGAAAAGCATAAGTATCTTCTTCATGATAAAAAATATTTGAGCTTTTTTTTATTATCAATTGGTGAGGGAAAAAAAAAATTTTCAAAAATACCTGTAGCTTCGTAAAAAATAGTATCATATCATCAACTAAGATTGTTGGATCGCCTTTAGCAACCTAAATATAAATCATGTAGGCAGGACAAGAAGAATAAAGACTATGAGGGGGTAGAGCAAACAGTAAAGTACTCTCTGAAAGATACATGCATTCATTAAAGTTTTCTGGGTCGTCATTTTCAAAAGGTGCTTTCTTAAACAATAAACACTATTGTTAAGAATAACTGTGGTGAAAATTTATTCATCATCTTTAGTAACATTCCATCTTCTAAAAAACAGAAGTAAATCAATTTTTATAATATGAAAATCAATATCTCATTCGTAAAAATAGGCGACAATGAAATGCTCATTAACAATAAGTTATTAAAAGACAAAACTGTATAAATGGAATAGCAAAATGACACTGAAGCACTGAAATGTAAGTTTAGATTAATTATTTAATAAAATTACGTTGGCAAAGAACAGTAAGTTGACGTAGTTATTACTTAATATAAATGAAGATAGTAGAAGCTTTTAGTATTAATTGCAATGAAATAAAAATGAATATTTATTGAAATTTCGTTGTTTTGTTGTTCATTGAGGTTTATTTACGTTTTATTCAAATGTTTAGTGTTTTACATCGACATTTAGACGCCATTGTAGACATCCAGAAATAGATTCTCGTCTTTCTCGTTTCTTTCTTTTACATCTGCCGTCATTCCAACGTTAGACTGTGTGCTATACAACCACTATACGAGAGGTGGTGGTACAGCAGACCAAAGAGGGTACCACAGGTGGTGGGTGTCTCAACGCCAAGCGACACTGTGACACGACAAATAACTACCACATCACACGCGGTCCGTACCAGACGCAGCCTCTTTTTCTTTTTAGTCTTTTTATTTTGTCAATGAGCGAGTGTTAATTTTTTTGTGGGGAAGTGTGTTGTCATCATGCGTCAGTTGATCTCCAAGTGATATTTGTATTTTAATATTTCACCCTCTGTCATTAACTGATTATTCATTGTTTAAATGATTAAAATCCTATCAAGTGGAGTGTCTGAGCAGCAAATCTACTAAAGTGATGTGCTGATGACAAGTGGAGAATGTGTTTAGCAGTGAGAGATCGGATGATAGTAGAGAAGTGAATAAAAATATCAAGTTTATTAATTAAAAGCATACTTCTTTTTGAATATAATTTTTTTGTTCATGTTGAAATAACTGTAGATCTGTGTAATTTTTATATCAAAACATGTAGCGAGGTGATAATGCGCAAAGGAAATGAATGTAAAAGCTGGGTTGTTTTATCTTTGAGACAGACGGCAGCACAAATATATCCAACAGCGGGGGAGGAAAGATGAAACGTAAGGAAGAATGTATACATATATAAATATACATTGGCTGCTATATAAATACATGATAGACGTTTTGAACATATACGTACAATAATGTGTAGTTGAAAAAGCATCTTGAAGATTTCTGGGATAATATTATCGTCTAGAGATGCTAGAACACATCGTGATAGCAGTAAAATATTTGAAATTAATTGACGACTCTAGAACGTTGAATAACATCATTAGTAACATGATAAAAAAATTAAATGGTGATGATAAATGGCAGAATGAGTGTATAGAAGTTGAGTGCATTTTTCTCACGATGGGAAACAATCTTTCCGGGAAATGACATTGAAGCTAAGAATGGCCTACCATTTTTCAGTCTCTTTTTCTTCATGAACCCTCTCTAAATTTCTTCCGGTATCGGAGTCTTCTCGAGAGATTCATTTCCGGGGTATACGTACCCGCCGGCTGTGCTTTTCTTCTTCTTTTTCTTCTTCATTTTTTCTCGAGTCGTTGCTCACAGCCTTGGCGTTTTAATATTCGCTAGAGGAATCACCACCCTCACTAGATTCGACAATATTGTGCCGTGGCGCGAGATACGACACTTCCATTGCTTTCACCAAAAACCTACTCTCCATAAATTCAAAAGAATCTCTAAATCATTTTTATAAATATATCAACTCCACAACTTTCATCCAATATGAAATTTCTATTTGCTTCCCGGTCGTTCAATGAAAATGCAATGGTTAAAATATTCCTCAACAATACAATTATTAAGATCAGAAAATCTCAATATTGTATATTTCTATACTTTATAGTTATTTTTTTCTGTTCCATTTTAATTTATCTTATGTGGCATGAAAAAAGAGAAAGATTGAAAATTCTTAAAATCAGATCAAAGTTGTATTGGTTGTTGTATCCAATTGTCGTTCAAATCATTCTAACTTTAAAATAAAAATTGATAGAGTCCCAAAATCATCGAAACAATTCAATATAAGGACAAACAACAATTATTTATCAGAGTAATCTTAGGTTAAATTTATCAAAAGCACAATAAACCAAACAAAGCACCAATGAGAGCAATAATTAGAGCAACAATGCAAAAAACAAAAGACAATACTGGAGAAATAAGAAGATGATTGTATGAAATGAAAGAGAGAGAGAAAGAAGGAATAAATGGGAAGTGGTGACTACTCCTAGGGGTATTTATACAGAAGCTGGAGTGTCGCCAAAAAGCTCGAAGAGACCCTATCTATCGTGGAAACATCGTACAGCTCTTCTTTCTCTCTCCTGGCACCAAACGAACGCGTAAGAGTACTTGACACCACATACACCTCCAGAGATGGTATATCCCCATTGGCTCTTGACAGCACATTCTCTCTAGTATTGGTCTTGATAGTCTTCTGAACCAGGATATCTCTTCAACTCATACACCAAGACATCGAGGTTTATTTGTCAAGCACTCTGAATCCCGGCAGAGGCCAAAATTGAAGAGCCTGCGGGTAATGGCCACGGTCACGGTGTCTCGCGTTCGACCACTCTGGTCACCTTCATCCCCTGCGGGTTCACCACGTGGACACCGACCCATCAGGACGTTACTAGACCGAGAATTCGTAGAATGCACTGAGTAGTGGTAAATTGCCAAATGAGCTTGACGCCAAGATGTAGGAATGTAAATTTGTGTTCTCTATTGCAGACAACCTTCAACTAAGCATTCAACTATTTTATCTTGTTTTCGCATCATTTTTCTTGAAGGCTATTTTTCTAGCGGCATATTTATGTAAGACAATGAAAGCGTCTATGATAAATATCAATTCTAAAAATAAATACTCTTTCATTTATTTTTATTACATTATTAGATTATATTTTGCCTTTTTTCTTAACTTTCTGGAAATTGATCAATTGATTTTAATTTAAATATTATTTGACATCAAATAATGATCCGTGTTCTACAATTTTGTTTTCTTTTTTTTGTTTCAGAAAAAAGTTGACTCATGTCAGAATGAATAAAAGTAATTTTATGATCACAAAGAAAAGGAGGTTATTGACAAAATGATCAACTACCAGCTTGGACCTGTCTCTCTGAATTTCGTTTGATGTTGAAACACTTTCAGCTGGTTACAGATGCGTTACGACATGCTTACACTGTGAGTCATCACTGAAAACATGTAGACTTATTGCGTAATTCAATATTAAGTTGAAAATTTTTATTTTTTTCTTCTTTTTGTAAAAATTTTTTTCTTATTTTTTTATCAATCTTTTTATATTAACAATTATAATATTAAAAATTTCATTTCATTTTTATCACTCAGTTATTAAGTTAAATATGAATCTAATGAGACTCGATTGAGGACGTTGAGCTTCTCATGTCTTTAAACACTCGGTTGATTCATTAATCTTGCGACTCAATAGATGAATGAATTTTCATATTCGTGCCAACGTTTGGATAGGTAGGAAAAGGAGTAAAGGGAAGAGTGTAGTAAAAAAAAGATGACGATGATAAAAAAAAAAACAAGTGTCAGAAAAGAATATAAAGAAAATTCTTCTGTGACCTCTGAGTTTCTCTTTCACTGCTATCTGAACCTCAGGCCCATTAATAATGTCGGAATACCGTTCTAAAATTTCTACGACGAAGATGAATTACGTTACCTCTTTCTCTTACTTTACGTTTTAATTCGCATTCTCTTGACTCTTGTGAGAGAGCTTTTATCTAACATTTTTCTTTTTCATTTCTCGTTTTTACTTCTTGTACGTCTACTCTTTTATTTCTTCTTTATAAGCTTACTATTTTCACTGTACCTACTCTCTCATTCTTTCATTCTATCTTCATTTTTTCATCTGCATCAACAAAAAATGTGGCATCTCAAAGAATTTGTCAAGTGACATTAAAACTATTTTTAAAAAACGTGGAGTCTAGTCGAAAGAATTTTTCTCTCCAAACATTAGATAATTATTATCTATACAATTTTTGTATTTTTATTGTAATTTCATCATTTATCCCAAAGTTTAACAGGACAACAAAAACATCAAATAATGATTTAGATACAGAATTTTTTTATTTTTTAAAATAAACAATGTAATTAAAAAATGATAAAATTAAAATATAATGAAAAATTCAATCTTCAAGTGATTAATTTGAATTTAATTTTACGTAATACTTAATAAAAATAAAGTGAAACAATTTTTTAAATCGAAACCAGACATGGTAAGTCATTGTGCATCGTGAATTATATAGCAGCAAGATTCGAAAAGCTCAGACTACTCACGTTTCACCACGACAATAGATAATCAATCACTCAATAGTTCTCTTATTCTGTTTCAACGCTCGTGACCAATTCTCGTTGCTCAGCTGACTACTGTACTGATGAATCACAATCAAATGAAATTTTCTCTTAATAAAAAACGGAATATATTGGATAAACAAAAATATCAAAAAACAAGTATAGGAGATAAAAGAAACAATAGTATAGGAGATAATTGATAAACGTTTATTAATTAACAATGAATCAACGAGTAACACTGGAACAATTATCAATTCGTCCCGTTAATTTTTATTTTCAATGATACTAAAATATTCATTCCTCTACTGAAAGAAGAGAAGATATATTATTAATCGTAATTCTTTACCTTCACCAATTTATGAACGTGTGATGAAAAAAAATAAATTAAAACCAATTAATTATTATAATTTGACAGTAATATTTTATTAAAAAAATACTTGGAGTAATCTAGAGTTGGAAATAATTAATAATGATTAAAAATGAAAGGATATTAATTAATGGAATAAGAGAATTGTAATAAACTAAAGACATAAATCCTATTTATTTAGAATAATCCTATTTGATATATCAGTCGTTAATTAGATTCACAGCTTTGGCCGACAACGAAATTCATTACTTGTCACCCAGAAGACAATGAGACCCGTCCAAGTTTCGCGTATTCTCCACTGAGCAGAGTGTTATTAACGTCTCGTCTCAGCTCCTCAGTTTTCATCATGAGCTTTCCAAGCCACATCTTGAAATTCCATATCTAGACTTTTCTCTCTTCTTTCAATCTTAATGAATAAATACCCAATTCCAATAGTTTCATGAATATTGTATTATTATTTTAAATTGTAAATGACTCATTTATAAAATTTTAGCTGTCAGAATATTTTTTCTTTTCCTCAACACATAAGTATCAGTATTGAAGCCTATCAACATTATAAAACTATTTTATGATGTTGAAAAACAGCTAAATGTTGTACTGAGTGCTTTTGTAGCAAAAAGAATAAATTAAAAGTATTTTTATCCATCATCTAAATCCATTTTAGACTTGTATAACTACACAGCTACACTCGTTTTCGACTCCAAGTTTGACACGAAAATTTATTCATGTATAACCGATTTGGCAACAGTTCAACGCAAAACCTTTGCCCATTCTATCTATTTATTTCTTCTTTCTTTTTCTCTCTCTCTCTCTCTTAGTCCAAGTTGTCCCTGAAGATTTCTTCCTATTCTTACTGATGGTACTAGTGCATCTGCCGTTTTTATTCTCTCAACTTTTGGCTTTTAGATGTTTTTTTTATTTTCTTAATGCTCATATTTCTCTACTCTTTTCATAACAATTATCTTCAATCAAAAGTTCATTTTTTTATAAGAATCAAATTTAGAGCTGTAAATGATCATGTTTATGCATCGGTATATTATCATTGCCTTAGATCCTTAAATTAGAATTTCAATTATTAAAAAGTCAGTAATCTATAAACAGAACAGATAAATACAGTTAAATTCATAACAACAAGTTAAAACAAAGATAAAGAATGAAAGTTAGACTGGTCTAGTGGTTGAATGTAGTCTAGTGGTTTCTACAACTACCAAGTGATCGATATTTCCTCTAGTGGTTTCCCTTCCTCGCTGGTCCAGTTTGGCTGAGAGAATATATAGCTTGTAACCAAGCTCACGGTGAATCTTACGATAGAAAGCTTTCGTAGGTGGAGCTTGTGACTCGTTTCATCCTCTTTGTGATGTAGATCATCACCACGGACTGAAAACTTTCGACCGTGGCTTTACGTTAACGACGCCAAGTTGTCCTCGAGGAAATCCGTTGAAACTTGAAATCAATATTCACAGACGAACAATGGAAATAGCGCGAAAACAAAGTGGAGAAAACGTAGCACATTTTGTTTCCTCCTTCAGAAGTTACTTTGACATTCAAATTCATTGAATCCTCACTATACACTACTTTCCTCTTCTGTTCTCAGTCAAATAAAAATGTAAAATGTTTTCCAAATATTTATTCACGGAAATTTGCTTGTTTATTGCTTTTTAGTTGCACCGAGTCAATAAAAGCTGAGGTATTTTCAATTAAACTTTACATATTCAAGAATTTCTTTTTTTCTTGCAAGCCTATAGTTGGCTTTAAATACTTTTTTTTCAGTAAATAATAAAATCCAGTTAGTTTGAATGCTGTGATGAATTATATTCATAATATTAAAAATGAATTTTGTGGAATTCAATCTCAGAAATGTATTTTCCCTTGGAAGAGATACTTGGGCGAAAAAAAAATTTAACTAAAGATAGAAAGAATTTTTTTACATTCCACGACATAATTAAAAATTTTGTATGCATTTTTTAAGAAATAATATTTAAAAGGAGAGTTTAAAACGTTTGCTCATTCATAAAAGTTCAATAATTTAGCTGGGTAAAGTCTAAATCTTTTTCTCTTTCTCTCTTTCTTTGAGTGTCATTAAAAAATCAAAAAAATATATTTTTCAATTGGAATATTTCCTACATCAAAATCAGAGATCAATTCATTAAATACCCCTCAGAATTAAATGCATGAAGCACACATAAGAGTGGATAGAAATTTCTATAAAACTTTACATATCCAAAGGGGGAAAAAGAGATAGAGAAATCTATGAGCCGGTTTTACTCATATCACAAATTCAAGCACAAATTGCTGGCAAGGTGATGTCGAATGAATGCGAAACGCTAGTCTTGGTTCGTTGGAATACCAAGTACACACAGTGAACCTAGAGAGCTGAAGAGGAGAAATGCGATAGAGGGTGCGGGTGGTGAGGGAAAAGGGACGGGACAAAGTAGAGACGGCGATTTAGCCGCGGGCGTACAACGTAACGCGAATTATGACTCTCACGTAATTTACGACCGAGATAGATACGCTCTTCGTCCCTCGTGGGATATATACGAATACGTGCGATATAGTCGGCAGAGATGTGTTCTATAACAGCCATGTTACTACACAGCAACAACGGAAAAACTTGAGATCGAGTGAGCTGTTGCTACAAACTCAGTCTCTGATCAAGTCACGTTTATGTGATTTGTATCAATCGTGACTTTAGCAACGACTCACGCTTACTTTCTTGTACATTCGTGCCATTATTACAGTGTTTAGTTAACTATCACCCCTTTGTCGTTACACTTCCAATTGTTGCTTTGTCTGTTATATTTCATTTCTATTGTAACATTTGTTAGTTTTCATTGAAAAATATCCATTATACTAATATTTTTGAGTTTAAAAAAAATTATACTCGTTAATAAAATGTATATGTAGCATACGTGTTGATTTTTCTAGTGAATACTTAATAATTTTTGTCATCATGCTCACAAATTAGTCCCCTGAGGCGAATTAAACTCAATTCCTATTTGATGATCAGAATCCAATTTTAAACGTTAACTTTTCGCCAATCCAGTCATTTATTAATAATATTTTCATGCTCTGTTCGTTATCGTAATTAAGATCAATTTAAAATTAACAAAAATAAAATGTAAAAAATTAGTGTGATTCTTTTGACAACTCAGGCCTTTAATTATTATTATTATCATCCAAATAAATTCAAAGATACTTTTTATCAGTTTAAAAAATTAAACATTAATAATGAATTGAGAGATCTTCTATTAAACTCAAGTAGCACATGTTCGATTTCCAGTATGTACATCTGTATAGTCTGAAATAATTAATGATTTAATTTGACGAAGCTGCTCAGAGGTTGATCCCATAAGAACATTTAGCTCATACAATTTTAATGAACAGAATCAGACAATAAAAAAAATCAACATGACATGAATTCTCTATTTTACTATCATACGCTGCAATACTGAAACTTGGAAATTAAAGGAAATGAACGGTTATTGCTTTTATGATCAGTTTGAATGATATCCAATTAATGATTACCGTTTTAGCTGATATGATTACGCTTCAACTTTTTAATTCTTTACATTCCATTCTCAGGAATTGGAATAATTTTATTAATGGGTGTACATCACTACACAAATAATTAAATCTTTTCTTCTAAAAGATTCATTTACAACAATTATCATTAGATAAGAATGACATTTATGTTTAATTAATTAGTGTATTTTGTTACCAACTGAATAAAAGATTTAAAAATATTAAAAAATGTATGAGAATATTTGCAAATATGTTCGTTCTTTATAGGAAAAGCTATTTTAATATATTATTATTATTACAAATAAAAATAGTTGTCTTAAATAATAATATTTGCAATTTATTTTTGCAAAGAAGTGACTAAAAAAAATAATGTTTTTTTTTTTCAGAGTGACAGCGGGCTAATGGACACAGATCCTGGTCGACTTGGCAGTATGACAGCCATTAATTCAGTGAGTACAAAAAAGTTAACTATTTAGTACATAACTATTTAATAAATTCAAAAAATTGAGTAATTTAAAAGTCATTTAGATCATCGTAACTTTAGTAAAAAAATGAAAATATCTAGGACTCAAATATCTCTTCCTACCCAATGTGGTTTTAATCTAATGAATTAGTTGGGTAATTTTTTTGCCTCCCCCCCCCTCATCTCTAGTGAGTGTTCATCATGTAATGTGTAACTCGATGGTCGTGTCATGAAATACGACTTCATACGCATTGCAAACTGCGCGGAGAGAATTTTTTCACTAAATGCAAGTGCAAAAATGACAAATTTCTATCAAATAGAAATATTTTTATTCCTAAATTTCAAAACGTGGTCTTGTCATTTTTGCACTTACATTCAGTGAAAAAATTCTTTTCGTGTGTCCTCAGCACAATTCTCGCATTTAACGTTTATTTATCGTCAATTCCCACATATTATTTGCTCTCTTTCACTCATTTTTTCGTTATCTGTAATCTTTAAAGTTCTGTTTTATCATCACATGTGCGCCAGCAGTTCCTTTTTTGTTTTTTTTCTGACGGTCGGAGAATTCTTTAAAATATTTACTGGAAAATTATCCAATTGTCAGTCGGAGCTGGAATAAATGAATGAATGTACGAAACGACCAGAAAAAAATTTCCGTTCAAGTGTGATGGAGAAATACATGACAATTAACGTTTGTAAAAATACATGGAATCTATAACGATTGAATTGAATTAATAACGAGTAAATATTTGCTCAGTGAATACATTATTAAATGTGAAGATTTAGTTGAATAATTAGTAAAAAATTTCTTGTCGAGAATAATACTGATTTTGCATATTTTCCAAGAATTACTTATACCCTGGTTTATTTTTTATTCATTTAATTATCAAAGTATTCAACCCCCACGAATCTACGTGTATAAAAATTCAAAACAATTGAATAGATTGCAAATATTTGAAAAGTACATTTTTATAGACATTATTAAATGCTAAAAATATGAATAAAAAAATTAATATATTTTTTAATGCTCAATTATTCCATTTTACGTAATTGTTAAATTCTTATTTGGACACATGATTAAAAGAAGTCCATTAAAAATATTTATTATCAATTAACAATCAACAATTATTGAAATACTTGTGATGAAATTAAATTTATTTATCAAACATTTAAAAGTACACAATATTGATTAAAAAATATCTAAATATACGAAAAAATGTATGATGAGGTGGCAGAGACGACATAAGTCACGGTTTATATTTACAAACGTTTGAGAATTAGAGATGGTTAAAGTTAAAGGAATCGTGGCTACGTCGAGACGTAGAGGAAGTGAAGACGACGAAAGTCGAGACTAAAAGTGCCGAAGAGAACTGATTTAAATAAAGCCTGCGTATGTGGGTCAGTCAGTGGTAGAGCAGTGTTACGCAAGCTCATGCAAGAGAGATGATACTACTTGTAAAACTTGCATCGTTTTTTCTTCACCACTTTTTTCTCACTTCTTTTACTCTATTTTTCATTTTATATGACTTTCGACCTCTTATCGACTAAACTACATTATCGCAATAATTATCATAAAACACTTTAAAGTAATTCCTCGATAATATTCTTTTTATCATAATTCCAGAAATTCCTTGATGATTTCGTTCTAGATTTCTATTTCTCAAGTGTAAATAACAAAAAAGGCAGCTGCGGTTAACTAAATGTTTCAAGAAAGTAAATATTGAACTTGAGAGGATCAAAGTTTGGAGGTAAATGAATCAGTTATGATTGCATTAGAGAGTTGAGGAGAACGGAAAAGAAATTTTACATTATCGACTTTTTTTTTAATGTTTCGTTCTTATAACACATTATTATATGAGGGCGAGTAAATGTAAACTCGTTAAATATTTCAAGCCCCAGCTCGTGCAACATCGAGTTTCACGATGCGTCTCCACGCTCTCTGGCTTCCGTTTAAAGATTTCCCTTTTTCAAGAGGTTTCTTGCAGCTTTATGAGGTGTCGAGGGGTAGTTGCTTGCTCGTAAATTCACTTGAGAATACGACCAGAGCGTCAATGTAATGGACTTGTAAATTATCTAAACACAATAAAAAATATTGTTTGCTTCTTATTACCAACAGAAGTGTGGAAATACTTTTCACGTAATCAGATTGTGTTTGTTTATTCGTCAGCTTATCTTGGACGATAAGAAAAAATTTCATTATCGTACTAATGTAACAGGAAAAGAGTTTTTAGACTACATGTAAAATTTTTTTTTTTGCGATAATTTTAATAAAGTTGTTACAACTTTATCTGTGAATAATATATTCACACACGTACTCCAATGACAGCTTGAGTCGCACCGTGAAATTCCAATTGAAACCAGTTGGTATATCAAAAGTAGTAAACTTTACTTACGTTAGGAGAATCGAACGATATTTTTGTCAAATTAGTAAAGGAATAAGTAAACAAATAAAAATGGGAATTATATCAAATGAAAAAGTGGCTAGGAAGTATCGAAATTCGATTTTAAAGGTTTTCTTGCATAGTTAATGGCTTTGTTTTGCAAATGAATTCCCAAAGTCGAAAGCTCTGGGATTAATGGAGCTTTTGCACGAATAGAACGACAAAGTCTCACTAAAACTTTTAGAACGCCTTAAGCTTTACCATTTAAAGCTATTTCAACACATTTTTTTTTTTTGAATTTCAACTCTTTATTCCAAACCGGTCTTATTCTTTTCATCTTAACGCGCGTCTTTAGCAAAAAGTTTTGTCTTAATTCTTAAATTATTCAAAGGATCTCGGACACAATAAAGTGAATCTCGTAATTCGATCATCACTTTTGAGTTCCTTATTATCTACTTTTTCATTCCATCTTGTCTTTCTGTTTCTCTTCATTTTTTTTCCATTAAACTTTCATTCTTTTTACCTTTTGCAGTCGAATGTTAATTTTTCTCTTACTCTGTCTCTTCAATTATCAACTCTCAAAATTTGTCTAAATTTATTTTTCGTTTTGTTTTTTTTTTTCTCGAATAAAATAATTAGTCCATTGTACAATATAATTTGTGTAAAATATTGATAAGATTTTACATTGAAAATCTCATAGATTACTTAGTAAATAAATAAATTTATCTGCACGTATGTAGATCAAAATTTCACATTTTATGTTTTTATATTTAAAGGAAAAAAAAATTCAAGCGACATAAAATTACTAGAGAAAATGCATATTAATCCAAAGTAAAGTTTTCTGAATCTATCTAATAATTTTTCTTTTTCTCTAATATCCATTTTGGAGCAGTATCCATTAAGCCGTTATTGAGTTATGAAAAAAGGGTGAAGAGAAAAGAGGAGATTTGAAAAAAAAAAAAAATACTATTATGTAGATCATTTAAATTCAATTTTTTATTCAAACTTATTTAAACATTAAAATTGTGAAAAAAGGGCCATTTTTAAGACGACTTTACATTAATTTCATTTATCATGGCATAATTCTTTACGATGATAATTAAAAATCAGGAGGAAAAAGAGAATATACAGATAAAAGCAAATTATTATTTTTTTTATATTTAAAAATGAAAAAAACAAAAAAGCATTCTCATGATAAAGTCTTGAAAAAGTAATAGAATATTGACTAGAAATATAAAAATGTAAGTATCTCGACATTGATAAATAAAATTTATACAACAATAATAGATAATAAATCCTTTAATGGAGCTTACTAAGAGCTATAAAACGCGAAAAGGTAAAAGGAAAAGACAATAAATGAGTGAGGGGCTCATAGTGAAAGGGAGATATGCAAACGGTAGTAAAGTCGAATGCTGAAGTTGCTGAATATGGCCTCATTCGATGAGTAAATGATTATTTCATGTCCAAAGAAACTACTGAATAGTTGATGAATGTGAACAAAAAAAAATAGCATCCAATGTTTATTAACAAATTAAAATGACAGATGCCTTGGCATAGATTTACATTTTACTATGCAACTGTTTTATCTTCTTTCACGCTTTTTGTCGTTTTACGTCGACATTGATAATTTATAGACATAAGAAATATATTTTTGGACGATTGAAGATGGCCTTGCACTGTCAATTCGATTACGTAATTTGAACACTTCTCTCTCGTATTCTTAGAAAAACTGTTAAAAATTTTTCATTACCTACTCAGCAATTGTCATCATAAAATAACTTTCTAAAAATGATTGATTTTTTGGTCATACTTATGATGATGATCCAAAGCAATAAAATATCTACCAGAAGTAGAATGGACCAAGATTTATTTAACATGTGTCAAATGTAGTGCGCTGGAAGTTCTAAACTATAAAAAGTCTTTCTTTAGTTGTCTTTAAACTATTTGGCATACCATTGCCCCAATTCCGTTCCAAATCTTAGATGCAAGTTTTTTCTTTTATTCTATTTGGTCTTTTGTCGCTTCGATTCAGGATCTGGGACGAGGTTTTATCGAAGAAATAGTGGATTACTTGAGTTGAAAATAGTATGGATAGAGTAGCTGAAAGATAAAAGGAACAGAATAGGAAAGATCTACTGGATAGTGATCGCAATTCTCTTTCTTTTGGGTCAGATGAATAATGTTCAACTTCATACTTTTGATAAGAGCGACAAACTTAACTGATTCTTCATACTCATTAATTGGGGTTTTTTTATTCTTATTGTCACGGATGTTGTTCAATAAGAATTCAATGGAGAATCATTTGAATTTTTGTCATTATATGAATTGACGATTATTTTAAAGTTAAATTAATTTTATTTCGCTTGTTTATTTATTGTTTTTTCAGTTACAACCACTCGAACATGAAAAACGTAATTTTATTATCTACCTCTTATCAAAATAAAAACAGAAATAGTTTCAAAAATTTATTTCTACTCCATTAATTCGCACTTTTCCCGCAGTTCGAATGTGTCCCGTTTGCGATATCCATCGAATCCAAAGGCCGTATCCGAGAGAGGATGACTCTACAGCTTTGTTACCCCTCTTTCTCCATTGCTCGTCGGTT